TCGCATACGTGTGTACGTGTTCACTCATTTAACACCCCCTCCTACAACCACGTTAACCAATTTAGCCATCGACCCAAGTAAGTCGCAATTTAACACCCCATTTCACAACCACGTTAACCAATTTAGCCATCGACCCAAGTAAGTCGCACTTTAATACCCCGTTAACCAATTATATGCTCCGCATCCTCCTCAGTGTTCCCCGAGGGAAGCTGCGGGCAATTTTTTTTGCGTATGTGCTCATAGAGGCGTGGGCTTTTCATGGACACAATTAGGCACTCTAGAGCCCATTCACTTTCATACTTCATTCTTTTTGTGGATTTTCTTTTAGCCGCCCCAAAGCACACCTTGACTTGTTGCTGTTGCCTAATGGGTAGGGCCTTCGCCGCTTCTTCAAATGCTGCAGAGTCATTCTGTGTATTCTTTTCTTTCATTTGTTTGATGAGTGATTTAGCCTACAGCACACTCCGGCGACTACTTTTCGCTTGCGCTGTTCTCAGCTTAAGCGTGTATAAAAGGTCTTGGGACTGGGCCACGTTTTGCCTTTTCTTCGCCTGTAGGACTCCGATTCAGGAGCGGTCTTCGGAGGTGCTTGCATTGTGGGCAGGCTTTTTCTGGCGTTGGAGCAACCCCATGGCAAGATGGGCTGAAGGTTCTGTCATCAAAAGTCTTCTCCTTGTACTTTCAATTTACTCCAAGTTCACCAGTTTTACCAAACCCTCTGCATGGTATCATAGAGTCGACGTCACGAAGCAACTCTTCTGCCATTTCGATGTCGGTAATGTCAAGGGTCTTTATTTTTGTGGCTTGCACAAAAGCTGTCGCTTGAAGTTTGTTTTCATTTGATGTCATTTGCACATACTTGTCAAAAGTCTACTTGTCACCATCTAGTGCACACACTGTAAACACCGTGGCATTGTCGGCTCCAGCAATTAGATGTCGAGCCCAGTAAGCGTTGGGAAGACCACACTTGCGGACGTCAGGAATTGCAGGCACATTCGGAACAGGTACTTGGTGACTGTCGCTTCCTGTGCTGTACGAGCCAGCTGTTTCCTGGCAAGCTGACGTGCTTGGTTCCTGACGACGAATTTTCGATGGCAGGCCGCAAGTGGATGTTCTTGACGTCCTTTTCTTCGGCACTTTCTTTGAAAGATACGCAGGAACATGTGGGAATAGGGTTGGCACCACGTCAGATTTCAGCACCAGTTTCCCTCGGGGAATCTGAACAGTTTCGCCGTTTATCACGTGTGTGTAAAAACGCTCAATAAACTGCTCGTCGAAATGAAGCTCACGGAGCGCCGACTTCGCGTCCAACGACTTGTCGGCACGGGGTACGGCTCGTCGCCAGGCTTCGAAGAGGGCAGGGTCTTTGGGAACAGAGAAGAGAGAAGCACGCTGACCTTGCTCCCTCGATGACACATAGCCGCTCGCGCAGCCAGGAGCGAAGCAGTGGCGTTGCCTCGCTTTTGTAGTGCTGGAGTTCATCCTGAGCTCGGCACTCACACTGTCGTGTCAGCAGCTAAATACATTTTGCCAAAAGCGAGACAACAACGCGGGAAACTGCACACGCCGAGACACACTTTCAGAGGCAAACCGGCGAGCCCAGAGGGGAGCCGACGAGAGAACGCGGAGCGCGCGCTTCGCCCGCATCACTATGCCGACAGCAGCGCCATGGTGGCCGTCGCGGCGGTGCTTGAAAAGGAGGATCGCGCGCGCTGGGCGAAATTTCAGGCGCTGGCGTCACCTCCCAATTCTAGCCACCATAGCTAGGTGCGTAGGCCATTGGCCTACATGTGCGCGTAGGTAACCATCTAGAACACTGTAGCATGGTGTATGCAGCTATACTGTTAGCTCGTTATTTGATGTTAAATGAAACACACCGAATACCGTCAGTACTCGTGCGAATAAAGCTGTAGAAAGCATTCTTTTCACAAACTCTGTCGGCGTAACTCGCGCGATTAAACTGCGTGCAAGGGATGCTGTGCAAACATGAGATGCATTTAAATTCTCTTACAAGTGATAAGCAGTGATGGCGAACTTTTCAAAGCTTACGTGGCGCGGCTATCAATTGTAAACTGGATTCTTTGCATTTCTCGGGCCCTACATTCGTCACGCACGCCTTTTACGAGCGTGTGAAATTATTAGCGATGCTGACCTTGGTACACACTCGGGAGGTTACCACGAGCTCTTAATGTTATACATTTCACAGCATTTAAAAATTTTCAGCTGCTCATTCTTTCTGCAGATCTCCACTATCTTGGCTGTGTAATTTGGCTATTTCTCCACTGAATATTCCTATGCAAAGACTGTAAAAATCCACAGATAAGAAAAACAGGAAGCCACTCTCCCCATGTACTGGGCACAAGTACATGAAAATTTATTGATCAGATATATATTGGGCACAGTTGCTTACTGGATATTTCTTCTTCAGGAGCAGCGGCTCAACTTTAGATGATTTGCCTTTTCCCGCTTCTCGGTTCTGTCAGAATTAATGCCTTTCACAAAACCGCGTAACAATATAAAAGCTGATTACGTCTTTTGAGAGGCCAGGGGCATGTTGTGTGCCCCCAACTTCTTGAGAAAACTTTTCTTTCGCGATTGTCAATACATCCAAAATGCTGTCAGAATGCAACTTGTGGAAAAAAAGCACTCCGTAAACATGTTTTCTAGCTTGCTCACAAAACTGTACAGGTGGCTAGATGGATACAACAGTCCACCTTTGTTACGAAAGGTGGTTAGACGAGCGAGCTGAAAATCTTCTCCTTGAACTGGCATCGTGAGTAGTGTTATGCAAACTTCGCAGTTTGTTTTAATGACACACTTTCGCGCATTATAGCCACAAACATAAAAAATCAGCCTGGAATCATTTCTAGCAATATGCTGGTTGTGGTCAATAGTTGCTGGCACTATAGGTCCATTCACAGTGCTTGCACTGCCAACTGAATCGTCTTGTGGCAGTGTGTCAGTAGCAGCATCTTCTCCTTGAGCTGGCATCGTGAGTAGTGTTATGCAAACTTCGCAGTTTGTTTTAATGACACACTTTCGCGCAATATAGCCAGCAACATAAAAGATCAGCCTGGAATCACTTCTAGCAATATGCTGGTTGTGGTCAATAGGTGCTGGCACTATAGGCTCATTCACAGTGCTTGCACTGGCGTGTCAGTAGCAGCATTGATCTCCAGCAATGATGCTAGCTCGCCTTGGTCGAAATTCCCCTGGCTAACTGTTTTCACGAGACCATAGAATGACAGACAAGTAATGGTTAGCAAAAACTGAGTTGGCGTGGGGTGGCCGTTGCTGCCGGATGACTGACGTATAATACCAAATAAATTTTCTAATGGGTCTTGGCTGGTCTTTGGTGTCATTATGTATTTAAATGCTACTTTCCCTGTCAAATAAGAAAGCATTTCTAGCACACTGGTTATAGTCACGCGCAGTCCAGTCACGTAGATTATATGCACGTAGTCCCGTAGCACGTACTTCGGCTGAAAATGAAGGTCACACACGGCAGATGTGTCGTCCAGGGCTTTGTCCGCTCGATGCAAATTTCTTTCCCATTGCTTCTTCGGGGCTGCATCCTTCGGAACGCCGAACAAAGACGGTTTCTTGCTGCCCTTCCCGTGGACGTAACCTGTACGACAGCCTGGCGCAAAACAGTGGTTTTGCCGCCGCGGAAGCATTTTAACCTCGTTTGACGGTCACTGCTTGTCAGGCCGCATCACTGTTCGCCGAAGAAGCTAGGGGATTGAGGATGCAAAGCGCGACGAGTTCTCAAAGTAATAAAACTCGCACACACCGACCGCCACTCCAACTGCCCCAGCACCAACGCTCGCTACATTTAATGCGGCGGTAGCGCCACGCCACGGAGGCGCGCCGAAGCACGTTTGTGTGACATTGGCGGCGTCACCGCAATGCATGGCGCCGGCCGGCGAGTGAGCCCACTACCCTATTCTAGCTCACTTTAACATTACTACAGTTCTAAATCGCCTAATTAGATTCTTGATAAATGCCGCCGTCATCATCCATAAGCTACACTATATGCGCGCCGTATGTTTTCAGTGCTGTTACATGAGATAAAGTAGAAGAACCGATATACCTGTTTTCTCAGGCTTATGCATAAATGTTCTCTGTACTAATGTTCTTTCCCACTAGAATATTCGAGAAAAAGGGAGTAAATTTATCAATGCAAGACCTCACAAAAATGAAGTGAAAAGCAAAGCGTAGGGCGTAAAGCTTGAGGCTGCCGCTCACCCTACCACTGCGACTAGGGAGTGGGCAGGTGTTACCGAGCTAACATGCAAATAATCATAACAAAAAAGCCCTCCACCATTGTGCCACCTCCCTAAAAGCGGCGCCATTTTTGCGAAGAAGGTCAAAAGAAGCGGAAACTTATTGAATTGCCCTATTTTTGAAACAATTCTTAAGTAGAAATAAAGAATATCATTAGGTGTGAAGGGGAGTGAAAAAAGTTGCTTTAATTATTGCACAGTGAAAATGTGCACAACAATGATTGAAAGCAATCCTATAATTACTTTTAACGTTGCCGAATTCCTATAAATGCACGTTTGCAAGTGCATGATCAGCGTCACTTCTTCATTCCCCAAACGTATGTTTGAGTTCGACATTCAACTACACAAAGTCATCGACAACCGCGCTTTTCGGGAAAAGGACTAAAATAACTATATTTGCTATAAAAATGGAAATGAATCCCGAAATAACGACTCCCGACTGAAAAATTCTGCAGGCGACTTGGCGAAACAAGAAAAAAAAAAGACCAATCTACTTGTTGTAAGCGGAGCTGGCCACTTTGCTGAACAATGAAGTCATTCAAGTTGTGTTCCCCATTGAACCCAAGCCTAATGTTCGCGAGTGAAGTTGGGTACTTCTGGTTTACTCCCATAACTAAGAAGGGCACGAAACAATAGGTGCCACTCCATTTCCTAGTATATTGTGTTTGCGCACACTTGCGCACATGCACTCATAGACGGCCCTGCTGTTCCCACCTGGAGCGGGGCGCGCAGGCAGAGCTCCTCGGCGTAGCGGAGTAACACTGGCCACGGCACCGAGAGCTTGATGAAGTGCGTCGACTTGTTCTCTCCCTCCACCAGCTCCTGCGCGCGTAAACCACCGCATGCAATTTAGGGCGCACCGCATTACGCGCATGTAACAAGGAGAAGCAATGTTCAAGTCTATACGGAATGATTTCAAACAGCGTTTCGTGGTAGAACGTTTAACATCCTGGAAGCCCTTGTCTGATGACCTTCAATGAATATCCAATTCAACTGAAAGCTTTATGTGTCTTTCATTCAATAATGAAATAAAGGAGCGGTCGCAAAAGGCTGCTACGGTGAGTAGCTTAATTGACCACATTACTGGGTCTCTCTAACGGCAGCTACGAACAGTTCATTGAATACATATCACTAAAGAAACACTAAACTATGTACACAGTATAAAAATTCTTGCACTTGAAATACATATCTACAAGCATGCATTGAATAACATTTCAAGGGCAAAGTAAGTGCAAGTAAGGAACATGTATAGTCAGCCGCGAGAATTTGCACGATTTCGAAATTGTGAAAAAGCTCAGTCACCCCAAATGCCTGCGTACGTAGCGTCGAGTTTGAAGTTTCATTGTCAAGTGGGCATTAGGCATTCGGGTGCTCCTCGATCCTTTAGACTGCAGGCGTACATGCGTCATGCCTTAACACAGCACAAATGCACACTTCCCATGGAAAGCATGTGCCCTGCAGTTTTGATGCCGAATGTGGCGCTAAGCAGCTGGCAGAAATGCCGGACGCGTACCATGGCTGCATCTATTCTACTTTGCCAACGCTGTTAAAAGTAGCGTCTTCTTCCGAGATCGCTCTCATGCGGCAGAGTCGTATGTGAAAAGAGCATAACATGTCCAAGCGGGTTACTTGAATTAAGCGTAAAATTAAGAACGCGGCACAGTATGTCTGCGCAGCAGCTTCAGCACTCACCTCCTCCATGTCGAGTCCGGCCTGCCGAAGGTTGGCCATGAAGGTAGACCGCCACTCATCGTGTTTACCTAGCCGTGCTCCTTCGTTGTCCTCGTACACCAGCACGTAATCTGCATCCGGAGGAAAGTTGACGTCATCATGAGCACGTACGTTGCTACGGGTAAATGCACGCACTGGAGGTTCGCATACAGTTCAAGGAACGAACGGGAGAGAACGATAATGCCGGGATGTTAACCAGTCTAGAAGGACTGGTATGCTACCCTACACTGGGGAAAGCGATGAGGGAGTTTTAAAAATGGAGAGAAGAGAGAGCACGCAAAGTCACACACCTGACAGTCACTAAAACACCATCAGTCTATAATCGCCGATGCAACTCTGACGACTACGATGAGCACCACCATCGTCACCTTTATATCATGTTCTAAGTACCAACAATAAGTGCGCCGCCGCTGCTTGCATAAGTATATATAGTGCAAGGCTGGAACCATCAGCGCAGCTGGTCTACTATACCCAGCTAAGTTTCGCTAGTAATGCCAAGGTTTTCACAGAGATGCTAAGCTTTTGCTAGTGATCATAAGTGTTGCTACACTTGGATACACATGTCCCGTGACAACCAGTTACATGATGTTGTGATTTTAGTGATAGGGCTAACTGCTTCGTGTTCATGGTGGAAACAGGTCGCGCGACTAGCTATTGCGCGATGTTGCGTAATTTTTGCCATTTACTAAACGTTACAGTTTTTAGTCACGTGACTAGGTGTGGTCTGATGTTATACGATTTTTAGTCACGCGAGCAGTTAGGTGACTTGACATGATTCTAGTGACGAGGCGAGTTATGCGATATTACGTAATTTTGTCACGTGAGTATTCTTACATGATTTTATTGACGTGACCAGTCTCATGATGTAACATGATTTTAGCCGCATGACTAGACGTTACGTGATGTCACGTGATATTTAGCTACGTGACTTGTTATTGCGAGTTGTTAAGTAATTTTAGTTACATACCTATAGTTAGTGTGTTATGTTGCATGACTTTAAGTCGCGTGACTACTTGTGGCGATGTTACGTGATTTTACGACGAAAGCTGTTATGAGATCAGAACAAGGATCACGCGTGGCGCCGTAGTTGTCCTCTACCACCACCGCCGCCGCCGCCGCCGGTGTCCGTAACCAGTATCGAACGAAAAACAAGAAACCCAGTGAATAAAAAAAAACCATGACACAATGGAATTAGATCCTGGATCCGCTGCGTGCCGGGCGAGTTTTCTACCACTGAGCCATACCAGTGCTAGGAACTTGTTTCTAAACTAGCCTTAGGCAAGCTTGATGTAAGAAAAGGAATTGTGTTAATGTGAGTAATAAAGTGTTTTAGAACATAAAAGGACCAGCCAGGCGTCCCACAATGCGAATAGCGTAACGAGTGAGTCGTCCAAAGCTGCAACCAATTGGAAAACTTCTTCTTGATCACCAAATAACTGTGGCGCATAGCCGCGCCAGGCGTAATTTTTTATCGTCGTCAGCCACGACATAAAAAAAAATTACACAACATTCCTAAGAAGCGTGCAGTGGATACCACGCTTCTCTAAAGAATAACGAAGGATAGCATAGTGAATTCTGGCCTACTACATAGAAATTATGATTATTTATGACATAGGGGGTACCCAGCGGTGTGTTTGTAGCAGTTACCCAAAGAGTGTTTAGAAAAAGCTCTAAAAGGCCGCTCATCAATAGCTTTCGCTGTGACTGTGGAGCGCGTTTTGCGCAGGCCTGGCGTAACAGACTCGTAACAGACTCTCCCATTGTATTTGTGTATCCAACAGCAGACCAAACGGCGCACCTGTTGCGGGAGCAAAGGAGAAGTTGAAGAAGACAAAGCTAGCATGTACCAGGCCTTGACGATGATAATTCCTGTTCGCACTACCTGGCGCTACGCAAAACCTAAAGAGTTGTACTTTTAATAACGATCAAAAGAACAAAAAGCAAAGTTATGGACCAGTGTCAATCATTGCAAAAATATGACACAGGCAATTAATTAGTATATTGCGCTCTGCGAGGCACGCAAGAACAAGAAGAAAAAAAAAGGGAGTGTGGAGGCTTGTGCCGGCTTGAATCTGACAATTATAGAGGCTATGTCTGATGTATCTGATAAGTATCAACAATGCTACCAATCTGCCTTGTTTGGTACCAGAACAAGGATAATCGCAACTGTCAGTGGCTGCTTTGTCTTTATAGATCTAAGGGCCCTCTCCCATCATTCGTGTCATAGCTCGTGTATACCGACGTTGGCCCAAGCCGATGCCAGTAGTGCCGCCCACCCCAAATTTATCAGCGTGTAGCCAAAGTCAGCAGCGCCACCCGCCCAGCCACTCGCCACAAGACTAGCATGTAAATGTAACGCAGTGCGACAACATTGTAGAGCGCAACTCTCAAACGGGAAATCAGGACAGGCAATCCTGAATTAAAGTGGTGAACTCGCAGTCAGTGCAGACTCGTGAGAACCATCGACGCGGTATTCAGGAACCACGACATGTACGTTATATAAGGACTCACCGATTCTCCGCTTTCCGTCTCGGAAGAAGAGGGGCACCTGGTTCTGCAAGGGCCCCATCACGAGACCATGGTCGCTGTTCTGCGACTCCAGCTCGTCGTCGGCGGCGTTCTGCGCACGAGGTCGGCCTCCACTGAGCCTCTGCTCAAAGACGCCAAGCTGAAACGCCACTGCAGCCATGCGCGGGAGGTAAGCCACCACACGCCTTCCCAATGTGTATACGTTTACGTACCTCCACCGCACAGAAAGGCCCCCTCATAGTTCCAATAGTTCAAAATGCTGCTCATTTGGACCTTCACACATGCACAGCCTATACACAGCTTGAGAATCGCGTGGAGCAGTATGACCCTGTACACGATCCGCCGTATACTATGCGTCTCACTCGCAGGCAATGTCTAAAATGCGCCCCCCCCCTAAAACAATAACAAAAGCAACTTAGTTTTTCTGATTAAGAGCACTCCTCTGTAATACCTTTTTCATGCCACCAGATTGCGCTCATGAACGATGCTGTGGGGCTTCCAGTGTATGGATCTTCATAACTGCCAAAAGCTGGCGTTTTGCAAGATGCTCATATTTAGAAGATATCGCGCGAAAACTGCATGGCGGTTGGCACCTCTTCTTTGATTCGTGTTTAAATATTAGTTTCATTGATTTATAACAAACCGCAAGTAGGAAAACAAATTGCCAACGAACACCTTCACAAGAATAAAAATCCTTTCTAAAGGCTATTTGTGTGTTACAGCTGTCCACGAAAAGCGATGGCAATTTCTCAAGCCGAAAAAGCCTTTAAGATGGCATGTGCGGGACTAAAATTGCGTCCATGATTGCATTGAAATGTCATTTTTGTGTCATTAGGAGCTTCACTGAAGACCGGGTACTCAAAAACACCGTATGGTCATTCAAGCACTACCACCGGGTACTACGAGAGCTGTCGTTCTCACAGTGTGTTTATAACAAAACCAAACCTAAAGATGTGGCATAATTGGCTGCCGCATTTATTTTAGCACCGACGCGGTGGTCTAGTGGCAATGAACCTCGGCTTACGAATTCGAGTATCACTTCATGCTGATATGTTCGAGTATCACTTCATGCTCAGCATGCCATGACAAAAAAAAAAAAAAATGGGGAGGGGGGGGGGGGGGGGCATGTGCTAGGTGTGCCACTTCTTGGCTACGCTACTAAATGAATGAATGAAAAAAAAAAACTTTATTTCTACTGAACGAATTAACTATTTTTTTCTTCCTCAACGAAATGAAAAGTCGCCCCTCGCGTTACAACCACTAGTCGCTGATACAATCGAGTAAGTACGGTATCTAGCATTAAAGCCTGCAGCGAGGAATGTCAAATGCTGCGTTCTGCGTCGACAAAAAGTTCAACACATGTTCTTTGAGAACTTTAAATGGGAATTCATTTCCTCTTAGTTATACTTCATATTTTAAGAATGAAACATGGTTTTTTTATTTATGCCTTCTCAGCTTACATGTTGCTTCATCGTTTTTTTTTTTGTTCAATAGTACGGGGTCATAAACTCCCGCAATTTGTTTTGGTATCGGTGTGAATAGTTTATTGCTTCTTGCATAAATTTCATAGCTTTTCATGTCCTTATTTCTTGTTTCGTCGTGCCCCTCGTCCTTGCCCATGGTGCTGTGGGCAATATTTCTCTACAAAGTATTCTTACGATTTTTTATTGCATATGTATTACACAGTGTACACGCAGTGACTTACAGCTGCTGAAATAAAAAAAAAACGTACACAGGCGTAGTGTGTGTTGCCAAACCAATAACAAGCCTACGTGAACATATTCCATAATACGTGCAGTATACTTCTCTACCGAACATTATGAAAGAGCAGGTTGTTGAACTAACAAAGGCGTTTCATCACGAGTAAACAATAAATGTCTACAGCATTGTCTACAAACTGCAGCAACAATACCATGTTTAATAACAGCAAAGCTGTTTAGCAGATCGGTCCTTGTACCGCTATCCCAAAATTGTCACTGTCGTAGAAGGGTATGCATCGCGAAAAAGGGGGTCCACCCCGTCACTCACCAATGGTCCACTAAAAAAATGGTGATAGCTACAGTCAGCCGAAGAAATGGCTGCGAAGCAATCAAGGGTCGCCTGAAGAAAAATCGCACTCCCGAGAAAAAAGCCGCAATCCGAAAAGCAAGGCTTGCCGCTATATGTGCGGAGCGAGGCCGTGTCTCTACCATTGGCGCAGACGCAATCGCCATACCGTTGGCGCCGACGCAATCGCCATCAAGACATCGTCGTTATTGCCTAGGGCAATAACGGCGATGCTTTGATGAAGGTATGTTGCGATGGAGGTATGCACCGCGGTATGAGAACCGAGGACAACGACAAAAAGATGGAGATCAAACTTTGTACAACCTTGCTACAACCAAGTTCGGGCCGAGTTCATTCTCGCTACATGCAAGCTCAAGCCAGGCTCAATCTCACTACAGTCAAGTTCCAGCCAAGTTCAACCTTGCTACAACCAAGTTCTAGGCAAGTTCAGCCTTGCTACAAGCAAGCTCAAGCCAAGTCTAACCTTGTTACAGCCAAGTTCAAGACAAGTTCAACCTTGCTACAACCAACCACAAGCCAAGTTAAACCTCGTTACAGTCAAGTTCAAGTTAAGTTCAGCCTTGCTACCACCAAGTTGAATCCAGGTTCAATCTTGCTACAGTCAAGTTCAAGCCAGGTTCAACCTTGCTACAATCAAGCTCTAGCCAAGTTCAACCTTGCTACAAGCAAGCTCCAGCCAAGTCTTACCTCGTTCCAAGTTCAGGCCAAGTTCTACCTTGCTACAACCAAGTTCAAGCCATGTTCAACCTTGCTACAACCAAGTTCAAACCAAGTTCAACCTCGTTACAGTCAAGTTCAAGTCAAGTTCAACCTTGCTACAACCAAGTTCAAGCCAGGTTCAATCTCACTATAGTCAAGTTTAGGCCAAGTTGAACCTTGGTACAACCAAGTTCTAGCCAAGTTCAACCTTACTAAAAGCAAGCTGGAGCCAAGTTTAACCTCGTTACAACCAAGTTCAAGCCAAGTTCAACCTTGCGACAACCAAGTTCAAGCCAATTTCACTTTTGCTGCAGTAGAGTTCAAGAGCTTCGCTACAACCAAGTTCTGCGTAGACACAGCAGTAAGTAGGCATGACACTGATCAACTTATCTGTGTAACGAGCTTTGAACGGCTTACTGCAAGCTTTGAACCATATACCTTTTTTTTTTTTTATTTCTGTGGCATCTCCGTTTAATGTCAAAGCTTCAGTTACGAAGCCGTTTGCCTCCGTGACAAGTGTACAAGTGGCAATTTTATCTCGGCTTCGAACAGAACAATCTGTATGAATCGTTTGTCCTATTTTCGAGTTCAGTTGATATTTCGACTATTTTTCGTCGGGTTCATACACACAATACTTCGGAACGGGCCATTTGTTGATTGTTGCTGACATTAGCAGATGTCGCGTCTTCCTGCCAGGTTAATATACGGCGTATATGGTAAAGCCCGCGTAATCTGAAACCGATAGCAATTGGCGTCATGCAGTGCATGCATGCATGCATGGCAGGTCCGCCCAAAGCTTTTTTTCATTCAAGCTCAGTGTGTGTGAAAATGCCTGATTTCAAAGCTTGGATTGTACGATTTCTTTTTGAAATATATTTAATATGAATGTATAATTGAGGTGGATAGAATACTCGCCAAGTTATCAGCTGAATTTGCTAACTTGTTTGATAGAGCTAGAAGGGGACTATGTAAATGCCATAAGTAAAAAGATCGAAAGCTGGCGACAAAGTTATTACATGTTAGGATTGAAACGGTTATGCTTACGGTGCGCTTCTGCTGTCCACGTGGACAAGGCTTCTGTCAGAACGCTTCTGCCTTAGAAGACTGCAGGTGCATTCCACGAATACGCCATTGTGACGCGAGTATCGTGTAACGAATAAGCTAGCTCCTTCGCTTTAAAGCTATCTAAGAAATGGCACTTGGCGGTCCCAATTGTCCCATAGGACTCCTCATAGCAACAGCGCTCGAGTTAACCGAGGCGGTAAAACCGCTCAGCGCAGCGACTTGCAGCGTTCACTGTCTACATCATCCAGACTGCTGGTGCTGAATAGGCGTTTTCTACTGACTGCCGCGAAGAGGCCATTGTTTGTCCTTTATGCAGCGGCGTCTTTTGTCGTCAAGACGGTGCGTCAAGGCACACATTTTCCTTTGTCAAGATTGGAGAGTAACAGAACGAGCCCAGCCTCAACTCGGGAACGAAAGCAACTTCATAAATAAATAAACATTGGAACACAATAAAGTTTCTGTAAGAGCCGAATATTAAAAAAAAACCTAACACTACATATGAGAAATCAAATGTTCTATCTTGGAAAGAGTGAGCGGACAAAATTTTTGAACTGTGATGAACGAGCATTACTTCGGAATAACTGTGCGAAACGCAATAAACCTTCACTTCGATAGCTAATAACGGGGATAGTTACCAAAGTCGTAGGTTTCTAGGGGACCTTCTTTGTAATGAAATGTAGGAGAAAAAAGAAGAGGTGCGTGGAAAGTTTCATTAACGAAATAAACATTTATATCCAAATCTAAATTATCAGACCGAGGCTGTTGGGAGATACTGAGATAACAGCCGAACAAATTTTTTTCTCCAGTGAAAGCATGCAAGCATGCCACGCACGATAAAAAAATATTGAAATATTTCCGACCCTAATTAAGCGCCACGTTCTGCAGTATCTAGATGTGCTCCAGACACTTGGAAATGAATTCGCGTCGTACCAGTTTTAAGAGCGCAGTGCAGTTAAAAATGAATGCCTGAAAAAGTGATTTCGTTTTGTCAAGTTGCCATGAAACTTTCGGGTAATGACGTCATGATATTAGCAAGAGAATTGCAGTAGTGAACCACATGATATTAGCAAGAGAATTGCAGTAGTGAACCACATGATATTAGCAAGAGAATTGCAGTAGTGAACCACATGATATTAGCAAGAGAATTGCAGTAGTGAACCACATGATATTAGCAAGAGAATTGCAGTAGTGAACCACATGATATTAGCAAGAGAATTGCAGTAGTGAACCACATGATATTAGCAAGAGAATTGCAGTAGT